ACCCATAGCGACCCCTCCTTGGGTTTCCGAGGCAGTATCACTACGGAAGTAGATTGCCCCATCTTCCTTCCGAGGAGAGGCTGGTGGATTTGAACCGCCAGCCTTCTGGTTAGCAATCAAGTGCTTGTAGCCACTATGCTACCAGAACATCATACAAGAGATAAAAGGAGAGCGAAGACAGCAGAGGAGGGACCTGATCACCATCAAGAAACAAGAGGCCAGAGCAGAGCATGGACCCAGAGTCCCTGCAATGAGAACCTCCTAGAGATGGGGAAGAGAGATGCCAACCCCAATGAAGATTACTCAGGAAAAGAAGACCAAACAGACAAGGATTTTCATCTAGAGCTGATAGAGAGAGAAAGCGTTGCTCTAGAGCTCATGCCCTGAATTTGGACTTGTAGCTTCCTAAACTGTGAGATAATAAATCTCTGTTTGTTAAAGCCAGACACTTGTGGTATTTCTGTTATAGCGCCACTGGGTAGCTAAGACAGTTAGCAACAGAGTGCTTGACCATTGCACCACAAAGGCTCCTTGAAAGAAGCCCTAATATGTGACAATTGCAAAATTTTCAAATAATACTGTTTTATGTGTTAAAATAGAAAAAAGAATAAAAGAGGGCATACCTGTCTGTGATAAAAATAAGAGACAGGAATGTAATGTAAAATGAGAATAAGTAATTTGAATGTGATTCAAAAGTAGAGTTAAAATTACAAATCAGTGAAATTAAGGAGGGAAAAGATAAAAATACCTTCAATAATGGAAGCTACTTGGAAGCTTATTGAAGCTAATGGAAGCTTCAATAACAAAGCCACTTGATTGCAAGTTCTGAAGAAATACCAAGAGGATAGAACTCTGCATCATATAAGATGAAAGAAAGGAAGTAGGGCAAAAATGTGATGTGGACAAAGAAATTAGTAAACTGACAAATTTTGAAAGCCTACTGCTTACAGAGAACTGTGGTAGAAACCATTTTAATTTTAAAAAGGTCTCAAGCAATCTATCTAGGTGTCCAATTTGGGATAAATGTAACCAGATAATTGAACAGCTATAATACCTGAGACATTGTGTCTTCTACAAGTTGGAAATTGTGTTTCTGGTTTTTTGCAGGTATTGGCAAGGAAACTGTAAATTTCCCTGCAAAATGCTTATCTGTATCTGATTATAGTTGACTCCTATTTATACAAAAAAGCTAACTTTAAAAATTTTTTATATTCTCTACTCCCTACCACCACCAATTTCTTGCAGATAATTGGGCATATTTTAGTTAACTGGTTGGTTTTTAAATAAGTTAAAAAACAGTTAGTTTGCCTCTCTTCAAGTAGGTTCGTCCTTTTTTTTTTTTTTTTAGTGATTCAAAGCGATTATATGATCTTTCAATAGCTCATAGTAAGCATTATAAATGGTATGGTACTTGAAAACATTCTGATTGTTAGACTTGTGGGGCACTTGTCTTGGGGGTTGGGGGTTTTGTGGGCTTTAGATAAAGAATTTGGAGTAGGATACTTAGAGGCACTTGAAACCAACAAAATTCAGAGTAGGCCACACCCGCCTGCCTTTTTAAAGGGCCAATTTGAGCCCAAGGTCATATGCCCCTCCCCCAAGATCCCTTGAATTGATAGCTCTGTGGTGGACATCTCACCAAGGCAAGCAAGCCTCTGAGCAGACTGCCTGGAGATCTGACACTTGTAAAGCACGGCCCAAAGGGACAGAGGCAGATATTTTTCTTTTTCATTCCTGGAAATTTAATTCAAAGAACTCAGAGGGGAATTGCAGTTATTTTCAGTTTAGAAAGAAGCAGACATATATGGAATGCTGCTAATTTTCATCTACTGTGGAACATGAGAGCAAAGATTCATAAAATATTGCTGCTGAGATCTAGGCTGCCTTATATTTCCAGTAGTGCTCCAGGTGCAGATTCAGTGAGACCCGGCTTTCTTTAACAGCTGGGTTAATGCAAAGATCAAAACCAAAACCAAACTCACTGTCATCGAGTCGAATCCGACTCACAGTGACCCCCTTTGGGTTTCGGAGGCAATAGTAAATCTTTACAGAAGTAGATTGCCCAGTCTTCCTTCTGCAGAGTGGCTGGTGGGTTTGAATCACCAACCTTCTGGTTAGCAGTCAAATGCCTTAGGCACTACGCCACCAGATAATAAACCCTTTTTATCTGAGCTACTATAGATACATCTCTTCCTTAC